CTCTTTTGTGTGACCTCGCCTATTGGGGCCTTCTCTACTCGGATTCTCCAGTTCCCGTTCTGGATTGCTCCCTGTTGATGGATATAGTCGACGACGCTATTCTCCAAGACTGAGTGAATGGCAACTGAGCAACAGCAAAAGGGGAACCAGCTAGAGGGCCACGCGCTCGATTTTGACGTCGAATAGTTCGCAATTCTGGTTGGAGAGGAACAAAGGAAAAAGGAGGCTCGCTAACCAGTCACAACTTCATCTGTTGTCGGGATGTTCAGATCCGGTGCTATGAACTGTGGGCATGTCATTCGCTCACCTTCAGTCGATTTTATCTAACCTTTTTCTTTTGCGGGCTTTATTTGTTGTTGATTTCCATCGTGGTTCATTTTTCTATTCTTTTATGTTCAGTTTCTTATTGTTCCTTTTTTGTTGTGTTTCATTTTTTGTTTTGTTCTTTGTATTCTATTCTCCATGTTTGAATTACAGGCATGTCGCACTAATGTTACCCTTTGGAAACCCCACATTCGATGTTCTCCTACTATTCTCTCCGCCCCTGTTTTCGGGAGACCGGGTTGCCCCTCTTCGTCCCAGGATCCCACCACCCCTATTTTCGCTTTTGAGTTTTCTAATCAAGCTTTCGGCTTTAGCCATCGTCGGATTTGCTGGTGCCACTTGCACTGTCTCCCTCCGTCGTGGCGTGCAAGTTGGTACTTTGCTCTTTCCTTCAGCTTTCAATTTGGAAGGTGTCATGACTGGGGCAGACTGTGACATTAGCAGTGGTGGGATAAGCCTTACCATGCTTTACATATTCTCATGAGATGTGCTTTTTTAGTTTGTATTGGTGAGTGACAGCAGGATAAGTTGTCTCACAAAATAAACATGTGTTTTCTTTTGGTGTTCTTTTTAAATGAGAATGCCCAAAGTTTCCTGCTTCGGTTTTGGGATACCATGGGTTGGCTCGCTCTCTATGAGATACCTTCATTTTTATTGTTCATGACAAAAACTTAGGATTTGCTAGAAATGATAAGGGTTTAGCATTAGTATTCATAAGACAATTAGTGAAAAATTAGAATCTACAATGTTTAGTTTAAAGTTTTGTGTTCTCATTTGAAATTCAGCCTGTTGTTCTCGGAGTTGATAGGCCTAAGTTATGTCTCAAACATAGATCTGATGCATTCATCTTATCATATCATTATGTAGAGTATTCTGTTCCACAGCTGATTTCTTCTCCGGGCCTTTTTTGTTTGTTATGTTCTTGGAAACTAATAAATTTCTAGGGAAATTAAAAGCTGGCCACCAACAAAGGATGAATGCCTTTTGTAGATTCTGTCATGGTGTTTTATTTTGCTGTGTCTATTCTTGATTTGAAGTTTCTCATAGCTTCCCTACATAAGTTTAGGTAAGGAAAAGTAGTACTCAATTAGCTATATAGGTACTTTTATTATTATAATAGAATTAGACAGTGTTGGGGGTATGAGTTTTGGTAAAGTTGTTAAGTTATTATTATCTCTACATCTTTGTAGTTTTGCCAAACTTTGTGGCGTTCAAAAGTTGAGTTATGTGGTTTAGTATTGTCACTGCATTGTATATGTGTTTCCTGAATCTCCATGGCTTAATGAGCTACATATATTTCGTGTTTTTTAATGGATAGGGTGGTTGTGTGGATGTATCAATAAGCTTTGCTCGATACTAAAAATATTAATGCCTAAAGCTCCCATAATATTAGTAGTGAACATGAAGTTGGTGACCTTGATGCTGCCAAATGCACTAAAATTGATCAAGCGAACCATGATATTATATTACAACACCTTTAGTCGAGTCACTAAAGAGGAAGGTCCATGTGAATTCAGAAAGTGATGCACAAATGATCGAGTTTTTGAATGTTTATTCTCATGAATGTTCAATTAGGTTTATCGATGACTTTATACGCATTATAGCTGAGTGGATTGTGTGTTTCTCTATACCTACACGTTTTATTTTGCTAAGTCACTTTGTATGAATACTTCACCAAGTTTGTGACTCCATTTCTTTTTATGCATGGAGCATCATGCAAATCATCATGCCTTCTAACAATAACTATATATATACACTATCTCTTCCCCTCTTTTATCTATGGCTCTATCTTCTAATCAAGTTGCAACACTACTACATTACGCTACATATTTCCTAGCTCCTAGAATCAGTGGCGGATTCAGAAAATTTTCACAGGGGTGTCCTCTTCAAAAATTAAATTTAATTATATAATAAATTAAATAATTCGTATATTAAAAATATCATACTTGTATAATTTTTATAAAATTTTTATTAAATAATAAATTAAAATTCATATTTTGAAAAAATAATATAAATAAACTCCGTGTCTGCACTGTTCAAAAAATCTACATATCCTACTAGACAATACTTCACGAACTTATCACATATTCGATTTCTAACATTGTTCTTAATGTAGCTCAAAGTAGAAAAGACTCTTTCAACACTTGCCATGTAACCATAAAATCAATTCAAAATTAAGGGTAGCGTGTACGTAGTTTAATTATTAGGTATTGAAAATAGTTGGAGATAAAGAAATAGCGTTTTACTGTTGCATGATGTTTAAAATAGAATAACAAATGAGTAGCAACATAATTGGAATATGTTTGATAATAGTAGTGTCCTAGGTTGGAATAACACGGACTACCACTTATATTTTATTAATCATAAGCAAACTATTATCGAGGGTAGGATAATCATTTTTTCAAATGTTAGGGTGTACCGGATTACCAATTATATTTTGTATACACATACGAAATTACTACCGGAGGTTGGATAATCGTTTCCCCAAATTTTAGGGGTGTCCCGGGACACCCCTAGAGGCCCATGTATCCGCCCCTGCCTAGAATGCTTAACTTACATAGCAATGTTAGTTGTATATGATGATGTACTGTGGGATCCCTTATTATTTCAGGTATAGTTGGATGGACTTAAATTATTTTTACACTTGACTATTTTCAAATTTAGGATGGTAGAGTTTTGCACCAGTTTCTCAAATTTTCCATGAGTGAATGTCTAACCAGTGGTTCTGATTAAATTGTTGTAGGGGGATTTGTGTACTTTAGTAGGAACTCTACCTAAAATTTGCAATAGGTAATGGGTTTAGTAAAATGTTGGGTGATAAGGATAACAATGATTGTCAGAAAGGTTAGGGATTGATACATTAGTCGTCTACCACTGTTGGCCTAAATGTTTCGTAGAGGGCCCTTCCTCCGCTCCCTTCATCTCTATCGTCGTTCTCCGTCCTCTCCTTTCATTGGGAAGCCAGGATCAAACGGTTGTTTTGCATGTCAGTGGTTGGACGACGTCCAAGTGGATGTCAGTGGGCAAATTCAGTGTCGAATAGGGATTGTGTCGGAGGTAGCTAGATCCACCCATATCCTCTTGCTCTCCATGTCTGAGATTCGACGTCGGCGGCTGTAATGTTCTAACGAAGAAATTGGGGTGTTAAAGTGCTTCATCTAGAAATGCCACTATCAACTTCTCTCTGTCGAGTAATTTCAGCTACCAACCCAAGCTCGATTCACGTCAGCAAACGAAATCACCTTCTGTGTTATGCGTATAAAAGGCAGTTAAATCACACAGACCCACGAAAGCGTTTCAGCGAAAACTCCACTAGCAGCTTCTCTCTGTCAAGGTAATTCTCAGCCATCAACCAGCCAGCTTTTGATATTTGTTTCTATCGATCTGCCATTTCGCTTCTTTATTTTAGCTATATGCTTCCCTCCTATTATGTTCGTGAAAGGTTTTTGATTTGTGTATGATGGAGCACGATTGGAAATCTTAAGATGATCAATTTTATGCTTTTGTAGCAATAAGTTAATCCCTTGAAGAAATTCTAATTACTATTTTAATTTAATGCATAATTGTTTTAGTTTTGTTTGTATCTAATAGTAAACCAAGTTAATAATACCAATATAAAGAAATAATTTTAAGCAATTTATGATACAATAAATAGGGCAAATTCTTTTAATACGAAACATGTATAGGCCGTAGTGAGTTAGGATAATCTGATTAACAAAAATACATATGAACTAATTGTTATCAATGTCACAATTATCAAGTAGTGCAAAGATCACTTTCGATTATTATGAAGTAATGAAAAATAAGATGAAATCATACGACCAACGGGTCGGGTAAAAGCTAGTAAGTATAGATATTTGAAAGCGAGAATGAGGATGGTTTGCCATCCTATGTGCCAGTAAGGCAAGAGGTGATCTTAAAGGTTATAATGATTCCTGCGTCTCTTTCTCTTTCTTTGCGATGAGATCGGAGGCTGTGTGTAAGAGTAGACCATGCAGTTACAGACTTACAGGCCGACGTCCTCCCCGACTGGACCCCGCTTTAGGTATTCCGGCCTGCTCGTGGAGCCTCATCGGGCCTGGGCCCTTTAGGTATGCTGATCCAGTCCAGTTTTGAAGTAATGGGGGAGAGAGAGGAGAAGTGGTCCATGTGTAGACAGACGTGGTCATGGTCAGTGGTCAACGACTCAACGTCCAAATTCCAAAAGATAAAAATTAAAAAGAGACGGACAGACACAGACACACGACCAGACAGAAAATCCAATAATACCTTTGACTCACACGTGCTCCTCATTCAATCCTCCCATTTCCCCTTCCCCACCGCAACTCTTCTTTCTCTCTCCCCCTTTCCAATTGCAGCTGCAAAAGAACTAAAACCAGCGTTGCATCATTCTTTCTTCTCTCTCCCTCCCTCCCTCCCTCTCACTGGTAAACTTCTCTTCTTTTGTTAGCTTGTTCATTTGGTGGTGTTGGTAATTAACTCGTGGCTGAATTTTGAAGCTAACCCGTAATTGTTTGTCTGCTTTAGTATTGCCTTTTGATCTGTTGGTGCTTGTGGAGTTTATCTGTTTGGCTAAGGCTTTTGGGTGTTTCGGGCATTACTACTGTTCTTCTCAAAGTGGCCATGCTTGGTTGAAAGGATCGCATTTGATAGCTTAGCATTTTTGTACAATTAACATGCTTGAGGGGGAGAGAGAGATCCTGCTAACTAGTTGTCTTAATGCTAATTTCCATGATTTGTAAGCATATTCCTTTCTCTTTAATTACACTGTCCTATTTCAGCTGAACGTTTGTCTTGTATCCTTGGAGTTTTGTCATTTGATTCTGTTCTCTTCGTCATTGCAGAGTTGCTGTACTACTTGCTTTCCCCGAGTCTTTTTTAACTATGGGAGATCAACAGCACGGGCTGCTGAAAGTGACAGTGGTTCAAGGGAAGAGATTGGTGATTCGGGATTTCAAATCCAGTGATCCATACGTAATCGTCAAGCTAGGCAATCAGGTAAACCAGAATCATGTAATGATATGCTAGTTTTTATCATTCCTCATTCATAGGGACTTGATTTACATCTCCAATGCACTAAATCTAGTTTAGTTTCTCTTTTTAGCTGCAATGTGAGTGATACAATTTAGATACTTAAACAGACCACTTTAGATTGTCGATTTGGGATGATGTTGTCATGGGACTTTTGCAACCTTGTTAAGCTACTAACTAACCAACAACATATCTTGATCCAGACAGCAAGGACGAAGGTCATAAACAGTTGCCTCAACCCGGTTTGGAATGAAGAGCTACTTTTCTCCCTCACGGAGCCCCTATCAGGAATACTAAACTTGGTGAGGTCCAATATTTTACTTACTCCAGCCACGACCATGCTTGCAAAATGCCTAGTATGTGTTGTGTCAACGGAAGCATCTAAATACACTTGTAATGTCAAGGAAAGTGACATCATCGTAAGGATATGAAGTGAAACAAACTGATGTGTCATGTGCAGGAAGTGTTTGATAAAGACCGGTTCAAGGCAGATGACAAGATGGGGAGAGCAGAGCTCAACCTACAACCAATCGCCTCAGCTGCACGACTGAAGCAGATCATACACGTTTCCTCCTCGGGCCAGACAGTGTTGAGGAAAGTAGTCCCTGACAGTGATAACTGCCTCCTGAGGGAGAGCACCATTAGTTGTATAGATGGTGAGGTGGTGCAATGTGTGTGGCTGAAGCTCCGGGAAGTCGAGTCTGGAGAAATAGAGCTGAAGATCAAGTTGACTAGTACTTCTTCCTCCACATAGTTGATGTAAAGATGCATCGCGGCGGCCCTTTTTTGGAATGTGACTGAAAAGTGTCGTAATTAATGTGTGCCTAGATGTGTGAATTAGGATGATCCTTCTATGTTGTGCAGGGTTGAAGTTAAGCCTGTAGCAGGGCTCTTGATTTAGATGTTTTAGTGTGTGCTTCCCTTTTGTTTTTGTTTGGATCCCCAGTTTCCTCTGAGAGTGGTTTCTAGTTGTGTTGTATTAGTAGTACCGATGAAGATGTGAAAGCAAGAAGAATGTTTTATGTATCTAATTTTGCGTAGTTTGCTCGTTCTTTTCTCTTTCTTGCTCACTGAACTCCATTTGCACCTACCTATATATATGGATTGAGAAAGGAACTTCTTTCTATGACTTGGACGACAATTAAGCAACGACTCTTCATTTTCAGGTTTTGTGTATTTCTCATATTTAGAATAGCTGTAGGTTTTAGCACAGTATCAGCTTCCTTGTGTAAAACAAAACTGCTTCTTATGCGGTTTTAACTTGAGATGTCTTGATTAGAAGAGGGCTTCTTTTTTGCCAACTTGGAGGTTCGTATGTTAAACATTGTCTGGAAATACTACTTCATTACCATATCTTTGCTTGTTGCAGGTTTAGGCGCATTCTTGGTCGTGCTGTTCATTGTGGAAAGCAGAAGTTAAAAGCTGAAATTAGGGTTTTGAGCAGGTAGGAGGGATTGTTCCTTTTTAATTTCCTGCTCATATAATGTCCTTCAAAACGAATCCATGCTGTCGTACGTCAATGCAGGCTTGTGAATGATGTTGTGGAAGTCATGGGTGATGCTTTCCCAGAGTTGAAAAGCAAGGAAGAGGACATCAGGGAAAGTATTGCAGCAGAGGAAGAAAATTTTGGGAAAACTTTGAATAAGTCTGTAAATGGAGTTATTGTGTCATAGAAATATGGTCATTTGACTTGTTTGATGACGGCGGTAAATTATCATTCGCAGGGGTTTAAAAGATTTAAACAGGACGCCAAGGAGGCTAAGGAGGCTCAGAGAGAAGTGATCAGTGTGCAGGCAAGCTTAAACTAACTAGCAATCTTATCTGTTTTTCCTGTTGACGAGATTTTCTCTTGTGAATCTATAATGAAAAAAGTCACGGTTCCCAATGTATTAGGAATAAGGATGGATTGCCCCCGGCCCCGACTTTATCCGGTTACAATAATAGCTGACTGCATTGTCTTCTCCTCCAGCACCGTTTCTCCCCTTCTCGCTTTCCGATCAATCACAGTTCATCTCTTTTGATCGCTCACTGCAGCACTCCCACCTTCTACCCGCGAAATTGGAAGAAATGGATTCTTCGCCACAAACAGACTCCATTAAACCCAGAGGTGATCACCGTTTCCCCCTGTTTTCACGGTTCATTTCTTTCTTTCTCAGGAAAAAAATGAAGCTGGGTTTTCTCTGATTCATTTCGATTTCATTTGGCTTGAAAAGGCTTAAAAGGAACTAACTTTGGTTGTTTTTGATCGGGATGGGACACAGATGTTTGCATTGTGGGGGTTGCTCGCACGCCCATGGGTGGCTTTCTAGGCACACTTTCTTCCTTATCGGCCACACAGCTTGGTTCAGTAGCTATTCGATGTAAGTAAATTCCTTTTGAATCCCAAATTTCAATGTATATCTTTGTTTTCTCCTTGCAGTTTTTGAAGCTTCATTCTTGTATTGATTTCTGTCTAGCCGCTCTCCAGAGAGCAAACCTGGATCCTGCACTTGTACAAGAGGTGTACTTTGGAAATGTTTTGAGTGCAAATTTAGGGCAGGCTCCAGCCAGACATGCGGCTTTAGGTGCTGGAATTCCAAATTCAGTGGTCTGCACTACTATCAATAAAGTTTGCTCATCAGGGTTGAAAGGTATGTTGCATAAGCCGATAGCACATATGAATAGAATCCTGATTAGGAGATCTGTGAATGAAGTTCTGGTTTTCGTTTCAGCAACTATGATTGCTGCCCAGGCCATTCGATCGGGTACTCAAGATATCATTGTTGCTGGTGGGATGGAGAGTATGTCCAATGCACCTAAGTACCTGGCAGAATCAAGGTTCTCCTACCTTTGCCATTGTTTCCTTTAAGGTTGTTAATTTCAAGAATCTCCAGAGTTTCTGCTTTCAAGAATCTTAGAGGTCTATTTTTCGTTTATCTTGATTATTCAGAAAGGGTTCTTGACTAGGGCACGAGACTGTTGTTGATGGCTTGCTCAAAGATGGATTGTGGGATGTGCATAACGACTTTGGGATGGGTGTTTGTGCAGAAATATGTGCTGATAAGCATCTTATAACTCGAGATGAGCAGGTATTTTGTTGGTGAGAGTTCTCATTCAAGCTTTCATGATCTTTGATTTACATACATTTATTAAAATTGAATGTGAAATGGCCTCGTCTACCCCAATTTCTTACTATACTGTCTTTTCTTTTTGGGAACTATGTTGCAGGATGCTTATGCTATTCAGAGCTTTGAGCGTGGAATGGTGGCACAAAACAGCAGTCTCTTTTCCTGGGAAATCACACCGGTTCGAATCCAACTGGAGAGCTTCTTTGGTGAAAAAGTTCATTCCTTTGCTAAAATGATGAGATCATTTATAAATTTGTGTCTGTGTTCAGGTTGAAATTTCAGGAGGAAGAGGAAAACCAAAGTCCGTAATTAGTAAGGATGAAGGTCTGGGAAAGGTAAACCAAATTGGTTAAAATCTGTTTTAAGCTTTAACCTTTTTAAACAGTGTTGGCCAGAAAAGAGTAATTTTTTTTATGCATTTATGACTGTTCGATCTATGCTTCTTTGTCAGTTCGATGCTATAAAACTTAAGAAGCTTAGACCGAGTTTCAAAGATACTGGTGGTACTGTAACTGCTGGGAATGCCTCCATTATAAGGTGCCTCTCTCTCACAAGTGTCCTACATTTTCTTATGGATCCCTAGTTATTGCTCAAACACCGTCTCTTAACAGTGATGGTGCAGCAGCACTCGTGTTAGTTAGTGGGGGAAAAGCACACGAGCTCGGTTTGCAAGTGATTGCCAAGATAAGAGGGTTTGCTGATGCAGCTCAGGCACCTGAGCTCTTCCCAACTGCACCATCCCTTGCAATTCCAAAAGCCATCTCAAATGCTGGCTTGAGTGCCTCTCAGATAGATTACTGTGAAATAAATGAAGCATTTTCCGTAAGACAAACATACCACATTTTCCGACTAAATATTATGATCATTCGACTCATTTCACATCTCTGAGTTTTATCGCAGGTTGTAGCTCTTGCCAACCAGAAATTGCTCAGTCTCAATCCCGTGAGTGTGTTTCTTTTTCTTTGTTAACTTAATTAGCAAAGATGCAAATTTGGCAACTCTGACTCAACTCTTTGCTCTACAGGAGAAGGTGAATGCTCATGGGGGAGCAGTATCTCTGGGACATCCACTGGGATGCAGCGGAGCTCGTATACTAGTCACGTTATTGGGGGTAATCATTGTCCGGAACTCATTCGTAACTTTGCTTGCTTCCCTCAATCGAGAGATAAATCTAGGTTTCTGTTTAGGTGCTGCGGCATAAGAAAGGGAGATATGGTGTAGCTGGGATCTGCAATGGAGGAGGAGGAGCTTCTGCACTTGTTCTTGAGCTCATGTAAACGTTAAATATCATTTCCAAAAATTGGCTTTCTTTCTGCATCTGAATTCTGAGCTGCTCATTCTTTTAAACCCTTTTTGTTATCTCTTCATGCAGCCCGGATTCAACAGTTCGGCGATCATCCTTGTGAAAGATTATCTTAGAAGAATTCAGTAACGTTTAGGATCATAACATACCGTTTCTGCCGTTTTTGTGTGTGTTTGTGTGTGTGTTCTACTAAATAAGTTTCAAAGATGGAAGAACAGTACACCTTTGGACATGGAAATGATAGCAAAAATGGAAGAACAGTACACCTTTCAAAAATGGAAATGGACTGGAGTTGATGAGGCTCAATTAATAAGTAAAACAAGGATTCCTTGCATTGCATCTTAATCATCAACGACATGCACGTCAACTCCATTATTACCGATCAATTTTCACAAATTCTAGATAAAGACGAGAAATTGATAATGGAAATTATCATATATAATATAGACGTACGTATTTGATAAAAATAACAGGGACTAGAAATCCGTTTCGGCTTAGTTCAAGCTACCGGCTCAAGGCTGGAAAACCTCATGAGTTCATTACACTGGTCAAACTCAAAAGCATCATAAGAAAGGTGCTTACTGCTTACTGCTAGTCAAAAGCATCATAAGAGAAAGGTGCTTACTGCTATTGCTTCTAAAGCCTTACACATGCTCTGAAGCATTTCTACTATATCAGATGGCTGTAACTACTTGGGGTAATTTAGAAAAACTGCCTGCAGCGTGGCCAATTATACATCCGTTTCTGTAAGCATGCATTCTTCCTAGATGTACCATTCCAATTCCATGACTAAGCCGAGTCTGCTGATTTTGAGGTCATCCAGACACCCAGAGAGTCCTCTGGCAATGCCCTTCTCGAACTTCTGGAGCTCAGATTCGATCGTTTTGACTTCAGCCTCTGGCTCGGGAACACGGACATGGAAAGATCCTTGCTTAATTTATTGGTCCTGTTGGTGCATTCTTCGACGCTTGCTCTTTGGTGTAGTTGAAGAGCTGTTGATGAAACGGATGGTCCAATGAATAGCAGCTCTCGGAGCTTTTCTCCGAGCTGTTCTTAGATGATCCAGAGCCTTCCCTTTTGCAGAAATGTGGGAGGGAGGAACGAGATGTCCATTATCTGCATGTTGATTGATCACTCATCCTTTCCTTAATCTTTAACGGACGATTTTTCACTCGTTTTAACTCGGAATTTAATTTTTTGCACAATTAGATCAAATTAATTGTGCTCTTCAAAATGATATCAACTTTGATATTTTTTTGAAATTTTTTTTTGCCAATTATTACCAGTCTATACTAGATGGTATTGACTGTACCATATGAGAATAGATCAGGTCAATAACTCATGGGTCAGTAACCTATCAGTAACTCATTCTGCTATCCCCACGTGCCAGTCCCCTTTTTTATTTAAATAAAATGCGAAAGAGCAGAAAAGTAAATTACACTTACTCTATTTATTGCTGACACTGACTTTTGACCGGACTATATCAGCGTCTCCTTCTCTCTCCTCGAAAAACTTTTAATTTCATTCCCTTAATATTTAACGGACGATTTCTCACTCGTTTTAAGTCGGAATTTAATTTTTTTTGCACAGTTAGATCAGATTAATTGTATTCTTCAAAATGATATCCACTTTGATATTTTTTGGACACAAAAAATTTGTCAATTATTACCAGTCTATACCATATGGTATTGACTGGTATTCAATGCAGTCAAAAGCGCGATTTTACCTAGAAGCGGTTGGGTGACTTAGAAGCGTAAAACAGTAAGCTTTTAAGTTTTAAAACGTAGATTTTGACTACATTTGTAAGGGGAAATCACGATTCTACGTAGAAGCGTTTTGATGACCCAAAAAGGTAAAAACGTAAGCTTTTAAGTTTTAAAGCGAGATTTTGACTGCATTGCTGGTATTAAATAAGAGCATACCATATGGTATGAAATTTTTTTGTCACATCAATATATATTTCGTTACTACCCAATACCATATGGTATAGTGTGGTAATATCAATATATATTTCGTTACCACCCAATACCATATGGTATAGTGTGGTAATATCAATATATATTTTTTTACCACCCAATACCATATGGTATACTGTGGTAATATCAATATATATTTCGTTACCACCCAATACCATATGATATAGTGTGGTAATATCAATATATATTTCATTACTACACAATATCATATGGTATAGTGCGGTAATATCAATATATATTTCGTTACCACACAATACCATATGGTATAGCGTGGTACTATCACACAATACCATATGGTATAGTGCGGTAATATCAATATATATTTCGTTACCACACAATACCATATGGTATAATGTGGTAATATCAATATATATTTCGTTACCACACAATATTGTATGGTATAGTATGTTAATATCAATATATATTACCTAAAAGAAAAGAAAAACAGAATGAGTGAGAGGGAAAAAAAACTCATCTTCTATCTCTTCTTATTTCCTCCGCAATCAAGAACACCAAACGCCAAAAAAGGGAGAAAGACCGAAATTGAGGCCAGCGAGTTGATAAAGAGAAAAAACGCAATAAAAGAGGGTGGCTGCAATTTTTCTTCACCGATTGCTGGAAAAAAAAAACGAAAAAGAAGAGAAGGAAGCAGATCTATATATGGAGAAAGAGTCTGGAGAGAAAAAGAAGAGAGAAAGAGAAAGGATCTGAAAAGGAGATTGAGAGAGAAAAGTGAAGAGAGAAGGAAGGGAGAAAGAGAAAAGAGAGTTGCAGAGAAATGATTCTCTCTCCTTCTTTGGAAAGACAACCATTAAAAGTGGTCTTTTTTTTTAAAGGTAGCCATTAAAATCGTAATATAATAAAAACTAAAATTTATAAACGGACAAAAATGCCCTTCTAGACCCCGCATTCAGCCCAGCCACATGATGGATCCGCTCCTAGATCTATGGTGTGCGTGCATTTACTGATAGGTCAGTAACCATTGGTTACTGACTCTATCCCAAACCGTACCATATAGTATTGACTGGTATTAAAAAGATCATACCATTTGGTATGAAATATACCACCCCATACCAGGGTGGTGTATTATGGTATAGAGTTGGTAACGAGAGATATGAAATATTTTCACCTAGAAAAATTTGAAATCCAATAGATCATGATTAAATCGTTCCTTCTGTGCAAAAATTTCCGAAAACGACTAAAGAACGAGCGAGGTACCATATGGTATGTAATTGGTAATGAGAGGTATTTTTCTCAAAAAATATTGAAAATTAATATCATTTTGTAGAGCACAATGAACTCATTCCAACTGTGCGGAAAAAAATGAAATCTGAGTTAGAATAAAGAAGATACGATCCAATAAAAAAAACTAGGGAAAATAAATTCATTTAATTCTCCACCTTTATATCTGCAACCACTTAAAGAAGGGTACATATTTGGTTACTCATAGTTATGCACCCTATCTTGAGCCGTAAATGGCAGGTAGATGTTCCATTTCAGCAACAAAAGTTTACCCAATCAGAATCCGTCACATCAGCACCTCTTTTCTCTCCTGTAAAACATTTTATTTTTTCTCCTTTAATTTTCAACGGACGATTTCTAACTCGTTTTAAGTCAAAATTTAATTTTTTTACACAGTTAGATCAGATTAATTGTGCTCTTCAAAATGATATTCACTTTGATATATTTTTTGTAAAAAAAAAATCGAGCCATTTTTTACCAGTTTATACCATATGATATTGACTAGTATTGAAATAAGAGCATAGCATATGGTATGAAAAGCGTACCATGGTGGTATGAACATACATAGACTGTAGGATGGTTGAATACATGATAGTAGAGTATACTAATTGTCATTTACGACTTTCAACATTGTGTACCACAAGATACCACCCTGTACCAGGGTGGTATTGTGTGATATTTTTTGGTACTGTATTTTGTTCACCCAGAAATTTTAGATCCAATAAATCATGATGAACACGTTCATTCTGTGCAAAAAATTTAAAAAATGACTTAAAAACGAAGAAAATACCATATGGTATGTAGTTGGTAACGAGAGGTGTCAAAAAAAAAAAAATCTCAAAAATTATTGAAAATGGATCTCATTTGGAAGATCAGAACGAACTCGTTCCATCTGTGAAAAAAAAAATTTGACATCCAAGTCAAAACGAAGAAGATATGAGCCGGTTAAGAAAACAAGTGAAAATAAAAATGACTTTAATTATCTACTCTTAGATATGAATTTCCTTAATAAAGGGCCGAAATTTAGTTAAAAATAGGTGCATAACCGTGAGTTATGCACTGTATCTTGAGCTCATGGTTACTGACCTTATGGTTACTGTCTTACTGACCTTATCCACTCCCCTTTTAGAGTATAAATTATTGGAATTTAATCAATTTATGATAGACAATGTTACTCTTCAAAAAAAATCTCTAATTATTATCATCGAAAATTATGAACAATGTTTAAATCCAAAAAAACAAAACATGTACAGCAATTGAAACTTAAATACTATATAATTTTTGCATCGGTAAGGAAACAAAAAAAAAAATTGGAGAGTTACACTCATTTTAGATGGAATAATTTAATTAATTTACAATCTCTATGTTATCTTTCGTGAGTAGACATGATCTTCCAAGTGTTTACGTTGGACACTTTAATTATCCATCGATATAAAAGACTTATATTTTTATGAACTAATATTAAATCTCATTTTAATCCTCTCCAAATCTCATGGAGTATGTACAACCCTGTTCTCTCCTAGGGGTCGTTTGCTTGAGGGTTTTGATCATGGATTTGGTCATGGAAATATATCCATCATGGACTTGAACCGAAATCCATCGTTTGCCTTAGGGAATTAGGGAGATGGAATTTGTGGGCCCACCACTTTTGGGGTTCCAAATCCGTGGACCCCACGGACTTGGAAGTTCCACCTCTTGAGGTGGGATTTGGGTGATGGATTACAATCCATGATGGTAAATTACCTTTCTACCCTTAATTATTTCTTTAATTACAAATTTGTCCTACTTTAATTCAATGGTCATGCAACTGTAAACTTTTATAATTTCGTATTTTATAAATATGAGAAGTTATCATTTCAACCATAAAAAAAAAAGTTATCATTTCATTTTGTTATATCGTATTTTATTTAAATATGAATGTATATGTGATTTGTTAGATTCACCTAGAAACACTTTATGCTCATCTTGTACATTATTATTTGATTGATTGTCAAATTCCACATCGGTGAGTTAGCAAGAAGATGATGAGTTGTAGCAATAAAGCGAGCAATTGACTGCAATTGATACATAATATTGCGTACATTATTAGATGAATTGTTTTTTTATGAAGGATTATTAGATGAATTTTTAATTAGTGCCAAGATGAATTGTTAATTAGTGCCAAATTGTAATACATTTCTATATTTGTAGTTGAATTATTAATCCACATAGTGGTAAAGAGTTTAAAATTTCTTTCTATGTTTTGGATTAGTTTTAAATGAAAGATTTGGATTATAATATAAAAATATAATTAAATAAGGGTAACTAGGTAATTTGTATTTAATATCCACAAATCTAATCAAACAAAGTCCATAATCAAATCCATCAAGCAAACAATAGACTTGTTCAAATCCATAATGCCACCAAATCCATCATATATCCATGGTTTTCCAAAACCCAGATTTTACCAAAATCCTCATTTTTCAAATCTATGAAGCAAACGACCCGCTAATCTTCTTGTACTACAATCTCGATCTCTTATGGACTCGTAACTTTTGTAGTACCCTTATCTCTATTTGAGCATACATTTTATATATTTTTTTATAAAAATTCTTTCCAATCTCAATATATTTAAATAAATAAATATGCATAAATGAGTAAGTCAGACAATATAACAACTCCACTAGTGGTAATTCTAGCATTGATGCTACTTTTTACAAATGAATTTGGCGACTATCTCTTAGTAATTTCAAAATATTATTATATTTTTGGGTAATTTCCAAAAACCTAAATTCTTAACTCTTTGCTAATCTAATGCAACTCCTTTCCCTTTCATGTTTTTGAACATTACTACCACTACTACTTCCCTTTCTTTTTGTTGTCTTTACACTCTAATTTTATACCTAATTGGACCATTATTATTTGGGTTAATTGCAAGGATGGTCATTGGGTTTACTAAAACCATTCATGTTTGGTCACTGAAAATATTTAATTTCATTCATGGTCACTAAGATTAGTTCAATAGTTCAAGTTTGGTCACTCTCCGTTAGTCTCCGTTAGTTTTTGCTGATGTGGCAGTCAACTATTATAGTTGACTGTTAAATAAGTGATGTGGCCAATAATAAAATAATAAAATTTAAATATTTACAATTTCCTTCAAACCTATCTGCGATGCGGTGAACTCTCGAACTCCCCCCGGATGAGGAAATCATGGGAAATCAACGTTCACGCCAAGGGCAGCGGCGGCTATCGATTCGGATTCAAAGCTAGATTAGCAGAAACCAGGGACAGCAGGCTCCGTACTCGATTCCCATTCCTTTCCAGGCTCCACGATTCCTTCTTCGAACCAACAACTACCTCAAAAGACCCCAAATCACTCCACAGATTCAAGCTATCTTCCCCTTCAACTTCGAGATCCAAGCACCACCGCTCCAAGAAGCACAAGAACCTTGAACCCGAGCAGATCCCGATTTCTCCACCCAAGATCAACAACACTGCCAGTCCCTACAAGGTGAGCCGCTTCATTCCGAGATCCAGATCTCTGCCGAACCCGGAAAATAGTACCACGCTATTTGATGGGGCAAAGCCGAAACAGGACAACGACAACAGCCTGGGCTAGTCGATTGTGAGATCCGTGAAATCCCTGTCCCGGTCGATCGAAGAGAGAAGTTGGAGCGGGATCTTGATCCACGGTTGGTGCGTCGCGCTGTTCGCCTGGCTGCTGTTGATGGAACGGTTTGGGATTCTCAAGTGGAGAAATTTAGCGGTCGTTTTGGTCGTGGCGGTTGTAGCTTGGGGAGTCGCATCTCAGAATGTGGTGGGCTCTGCCGACGACGATGGCGGCGACCAAGGAAGGGTTCAGGAAGCTTGGAAATTTACTGCATCTTCTGGGAGTTTAGACCAGCTTTCCATGGTACTAACAGGATTTGCTATGAACTGATTGAGGAAGAGTCTTTCACTCTTTTGGGTAGTTGACAACAATATGTTTTCTCAAGTTTTGCTTCTTGTTTTCAGATTGTCTTCTCTAAGATTCGCCAGGCCGTTGGGCTTTGATTTTGCAAGGACGGACGATTGCAGATTAACTCACTTGAGTTGAGTTTGGTATTCTTCATTCACAACAGATTAAATATTTAAAATTTAAATATTTATTTTTATTTTTTAATAGTTGTAAAATGAGGTGGAAATTGTAAATATTTAAATTTTATTATTTTATTAATTTTTTAATGGCCACGTCACTCATTTAACGGTCAACTATAATAGTTGACTGCCACATCAGCAAAAACTAACGGAGAGTGACCAAACTTGAACTATTGAACAAATTTTAGTGACCATGAATGGAATTAAATATTTGCAGTGACCAAACATGAACGGTTTTAGTAAATCCAGTGACCATCCTTGAAATTAACCCATTATTATTTATTATCCTGGCAATCAGATATCCAAACCAGGAATGACAATTCGGTTAGATCTGACTGGGTACTACAAAAACATTGAACTAGATGAACTTTCTATCTCATATTTAGGAAGTTTTAGTGTTACAAATGAGTCGAGTTGAATTGGATTTTCACCTAACTCAAACTAAGTTCGTAAGAAAATTTAATTGAATTCAAACTCGATTCATTTACTAAAACTTTTGGCTCAAACTCGACTCATCAATGATCTTGCAAGCTCTATTCAAATTTGGCTCATCAATACATCACGATATCATCTCGTACTAGCTCATTTATGATTATTAGTGGTTAAACCCTTAATCTAAACTCTAAAATTATTTATAAATTAAATACTATAATATTTGTATGTCATACGTGATACATGAGATTAATATGATGAAAAAAATAAAAAGATTAATAGTACATTTTCATCAGAAATTGATATCATGTTCATATACTTTGTTGGTAACATATTTTAGCTCATAAAGTTTAAGTATCTCATATCATATTATTTAATATAACAAACCAACTCATAAGCGATAGACCTACTTGCAAGTTGTTAGTCAAACCAGCTCGGTAGCCACACTTTCGAGTCAACTCATGAGATTAAACAAGTTGGCTCACAAGCTGAACAAAGGTTTAGCACAAGCTCAACTCATAAGTAAATGAATTTTTCTCAAGTCACACACTCAACCGCACGTAAGTTACTTGGCTCATTGTTGCCTACATGTATAATATCAATTGGGTTTCATTGGAAAATGAACATGACCATGTATCTATTCTATGCATTAAATACATGAGACGCAACTTCTTGGAAATGTCAAGTGGGAATAGCTCAGTTAGGAGAGTGTCAATCTGAAGATTGATCCACGCTCACTGCAATTTTGCTCTTGATTCCTCATTCATTGTTCCTCATTCGCTCGCTTGCTCACAAGCAGAAGAGATGGTTAGTTTCCACTTCCAGTTACCAGACAAGTGCCAACAATTCTAACCAGACAAACTATCGAAGTTAAAGACTTGGAATTGGAATTAATTCAGAATTGCAGAGCCCAACAACAGCATCAAAGCAGCCATACATCTTTCCTTATCATCAACTGTTATTCAGGAACAAAAACATATGCAAGGACGAGAGAGAGAGAGAGAGACAGAACAGGTCAGGCGAAACAAGACGATCAAAAAACAATTACAGTCTCAATTACTGACAAATGTTCATAACAACAAAAATTCTTCCCCCTACCCATAAAAAAAGAAAGAATCTTTCCACCTTACAATCAACATCATCATATCATTAACCAATAACCATACAAGTAGTAGAACCCTTTCAGAAGAAGTCAAACTCCAGATAGTTATCACCAGCACCCTTCTGACCACTGCCTCCTGCTGTTGCTGTCCTCGCTGCCTTTTCGCTGGTGGAGCCTGCCACTGGTGGCGGCCCAGGAATCCGTTCCAACTCAACCGGCTTTGGTATCTCAGGCGGTGTGGCACATCGTATCAATGCCCAGTTCACCCCTTCGAAGAAAGGATGCTGCTTTATCTCAGTAGCACCTCTCTTATACGCCAACCTATGCTGTGGCTCCTTCACCAGCAGTCCCCTTATGAGATCCCTCGCTGCAAAGCTGACCACTGGCGCTTCAGGAAACCGGAGAGGCTGACCCACCACATTGAACAATGTAGCTCGGTTTCCAGACCCCTTGAATGGTGTCTTACCAAATAGGAGCTCGTAGAGAAAGATACCAAAAGTCCACCAGTCAACAGCACTTCCATGGCCTTCTCCCTTGATGATCTCGGGAGCTAAATACTCGTGGGTCCCGACGAATGACATTGATCTGGCCTCGGTAGGCTCAGCAATCAATTCAGGTAAAGGGCTGACCTGGTTTCCAAGATCGTTTTTCGGTTTCCTCTCCTTTTTTGACTTGCTGGAGAAGAGACGAGGCGAGAAGCATGTCGTAGGCCCCACGCAGGATGGTTGGATGCAGGCTGGTGGTTGAATGCAGGCTGGCTGGACACAGTAGACTGTGTTCTTTCGTAGTGGGTCGGCTCCCTCGAGAGGCGTGCCTTTGACGAGAGTTGGGCTAACAGCACAACGGAGGGAAAGGTCGAAGTCGGAGAGCATTATGTGACCATCATCTCTCACCAATACATTCTCGGGCTTGAGATCGCGGTAGATGATTCCCAGCATGTGGAGATACTCCATTGCTAATAAGACCTCTGCCACGTAGAACCTGAAGAATTTGAGGGCGTATTATAGGAAAGATTACAATTTGGCAGGTGTAAAATCAGTAATAACACAAGCTAATGTTCTAAGAATGCAGTAGGCAGACACAGCAGCTAATGTGACCCTGAAACAAAGTCCAGTACAATTTAAAACTTGAAAGTCAGAAACTTCAATTGCAAATTACTGAAACTCATTACTCCAGAGCTAGCAGAATGCAATCTTCTGACAACTACAGTTACAACTTGTGTACTCATAAAGGCAGAACTCATTTCATAACAGAGTTTTCTGCTGAAAAATCGTATCAGTGCAATCAAGGTATGAACCAAATTTCATGACAATATTGAACAATGGAGCAAGCTTAGGAAATGGTAAAGGGCAGACATATCAGGTACTATGGATCATCCAGGTGAAACAAAAACATCATGTACTGTAGATTAAATGAAACAAATCGACAACACGTCAGATATCAAAGTTTCATACTTTACTGCATGCTCAGTGAAATGCTTCCCGGGCTGCCTCTGCCTGAGGGTGTGCAAGTCACCACCAGGGCAGAACTCCATGACCAAACAAGAAAACTTCTCCGTCTCAAAGTGAGTATAAAGTGAAGGAAGGAATGGATGGTCCAGAGATTGTAGTATCTCTCTCTCTGTCTGAGCCCTAAGCAGCTTCTTACGGCTTGCAAGGGAGCCCTTGTCCATCACCTTCATAGCAAAATAACACTTGGTCCCACTCAACTCAGATAAATACACACTTCCAATATCGCCACAGCCTAACCTTTTCAGCAATCTAAAGTGATTCAAACCCAAAGCACCATCCCTCGTCCTAACAGCCTGGATGGCTTCCCACCTTAAATCATTTGCCTTGTGAGGCTTGCTGATGCTGCTGCTAAAGCTGCTACACGTGCTCTCATCGCTGATGTCACTGCTCGTGCTGCCTCTGCACATGCTGCTCTTCCCACTCTCCACATACTCAATTTTTGTGCTCCCGCTAGTCTTTCCAAGACTGCTAGCTCCGTCACTGATTTTTCCTGAAACCGAACTGTTCTTAACAGACGCTTCTTGAGACCCTCTGGTATCATTGATGGATGAAGAATCTACTCCTCCTGATCCTTGTTCTTCAATACTCGCCAATGACATTGAAGTGGACTCCAATTTGCTGCTTAAGGAGTCAGCAGCCAACACCTTTCTGTTCGAGTTCGGAAACTTTGGCGTGTTTCCTAATGGCCTTGGCACCTGGCCATGAATGTTCATCTCAACTGGAGAAGGGAGCTTGAGATCATCTAACCTCAACTTATGAACCTCTTTTGAAAAACCTTTACTACCTGTTCTGGAGGCCATGGAGAACTATCTAACTCTTCCAAAACTACGTCATAGGTGATGAATTCACGGCCAAGCATATAGTACCCCAAATCATATCTTCCAGCAGTAGCCCAAACGTATATTTCTGCCTTATTCTTCTTTTACTGCCCACAATTGAATCTGTTTGAACATAGCTGAGTAAGTCCCAAATCAGCTGGACATTTTTAAAATAAAAAAAGATGCCAAATGATTGATTTTGGTACATGCAATATGAAGGAAAAAAGATTAGAATGAAAGAATCTATGGAAGAGGTAATTTAGATTAACCATGGATTGAAGTGATAGCCCAACCAAATAAAGCTTCAATTAGCACAAACAAATAGATATAAACGTGAGATCTTGGCAATCAGAGAGGCTACAAATTCAACAGTGAGGGAGATTGATTTAATTTTCCTAGTGTTCCTGTACCACCTCAGTGGAGCTAAACTATTCACGTTAACAAAGAGGTTTGAGGAGAGAAAAAACAGCAACAGAGTTAAGTACAACAAGGGAAACCAAATTCACTCATCTCCCACCACAGAATCAGGTTGAAGCAAAGGGCCTGCTGCATGTTTAAACCCTGATCAAGCAAATAGGAAAGTGAGACACACCCCTCAGCAAACAAAATAAAAACAAAGATAAGGGAAGAATTCCATGGCAGCCAAAAACCTTGGGAAAAAATATCTCCCCATGTAGAACAAAGAGGTTCATTTCAAGGACCACTATCTAGAAAGTGGAAATCAGTCCATCAAAGTCAGCTGCCCAGAAAAATGCAGTTTGTGAAAACAAAAGGAAGGCAGAAACAAACAACTGATCCCCACAGACATGACACAACCAAGCAACCTAATAATAAAAAATGTTAACAAATTCAGCCTTATAAAAACCAGATCTTGACAGCAAAAAACACAGCTAGAACCAAAACCCAGAACAGATCGAAGGGCAAAACGGAGAACGCAGATGCCTACGAAGCAGATTGCAATCTGCATACAAGAGGAACATAAAAAGTACCTAGCTTGAAAGATCAGGAACTTGAAGGTGGGCTTTGCTTGCTTTTGCAGAGAGGGGCGAGAAAAAAAGGAAGAACAAAAAGGGAATGCACTGTAGAAAGGAGAGAGAGAGAGAGAGAGAGAGAGAGAGAGAGAGAGAGAGAAAGAAAGAGAGGCTATGGTGGGGTGGCTGCTGGCCTGCTGCTACCAAATAATCTGTGTGTGAAAGAAGAGGGAGGGAGAGATCTGAAAGCAAAGATGGAAAAGGAAAGCTTGAGATAGAAATAAAAAAGAGTAATCAAAATGGAGGAAAAAAAAAAGGAAATTGGTGTTTATAAGCTGGCTTGGCTGGATGGATGGATCAACGGACTATGGTCATCCTGTCCTGGCTTGGCTGAGAAAGCTTCTTCTGCTGTCCTTGTGGACCATTGTTGTACAGAGAGAGAGAGTAGCAGTAGAAGAACAAGAGGTAGATGAGTCAAAGCCAATGGCTAAAGCCTAAAAGGTTTGGAAACAAATAATAACAATAACAATCGATTTTCTCTTTCTCTTTCTCTTTCTCTTTCTCTTTCAATGCTTAAATTAATTTCCCCTTTTTACAATGGAAAATGATGCTGTTGGTTGTGTTGTAGTGCTTTTGTTTTGGAGCGGAGGTAACAGTTTGGATGGTCCGACAGCCAACCATGAATAAAGGGCAAGGCCAAATTATGATTTCGGTTTGGTAGAAAAACAAAGATCTTGCTCTTTGAACTCATCGTACATTAGCAAATTCTCTGATGGCGGCACTAATCTAGTTGGAGATAATTTGCAGGCCTCTCGCCTAAGAACCGATTATGATATGTGTTTCGAGAATACATGTATTTAAAATCATCAATATTTAATACTAACGATTGGTTTTGGTGATAGTTTAGGTTAGTGATGGCAATTTCAACCCGTCCCGTGGGTATTACCCGACCTGACCCGCGATGGGGTGGGTATTACCCGACCCACAGTAGCATGGGACGGGGCATGGGTATTACTTCCGACCCGTCCTGCCCCGCCCCGTTCTAGACTCATTTTATCTCAATTTCTTCCAATATCTATACATATTTCTCCTATTTTGACTTTTCTTCAACTAGTTAGAGTCAATCTTTCAACTTGTTAGGCTCAATTATCCATTCTATTATCAATATTTTTCATTCTTAAAGTGTTTTTCCCTACGTTTTATTGTAAAAAGTAAAATTTACTTGTTTTTTTTTAACAACATGTAAGAGTGGGTCGACCCGCCCCGCCCCGTACTCGCGCTGGTTTTACCCGCCCCGACCTGTAGTAGCGTGGGGCGGGGCATGGGAATTGAGGTACCCGCCCCACCCCATTGCCATCACTAGTTTAGGTGAGACTGTTACAATGTGTATATTGTTAACAATGCATCATTTTTTTTTTTGGTTTATTTACTTAAACGATTCACCCATTTTTTTGTTGATGTGATGGAAACTATCACTCAAAATTAGTGATAGTAAATTAGTAATATTTCTACTAAAACTTGAGATTGTTGAGATAGTTTTGAGAAGATTGTTGAGTTCCCTTTTTGTTCCAGTTATACTCCTATTTGTATATATATGTTCTCATAAAAACAAGGGCAAAAGTGAACATTCCAACAAAAAGTAATATAACTGGTTAAATACTAAAAGGATTATCACCAAAATCAAACAATGTGAAGTACATTCTATCATTTTCCTTAATTGCATGTATATTATAATGCATTGATTTAAGTATCACCAAAATCAAACGACCCCGTAATATCATTTGCTCACATCCATGTGAGTTTAATTTAACTTTTAAAATGATATTATGGGTCGATATTAAATAACGAGTGGATTTTGTAGAATTAGAAGACAATGCTTCGTATTTCTAACAACTAGCACAGGGCCCGGCCTGTTGGCCAGTAAAGTTCGATGGTTATGTAATTTGTATGTGTCATTTATACTAATGATGTTTATTTTGTTTGGCATTTGCCTATGAACTTTCTAGTCAAACACTAAAATTACTTTGAGTGCACTTAGAACGTATTGAAAAAATGAGAAAGTCAAAATGACTAATAAAGGAATGCATCCAATAGTAACGCGTATGTTTCAAACAAAGTGTTGCACATATAAACAGTCCATATATAATGTGTGAGTTGCTTCCTATGATACATACATAATCAATCTTCACCATAAAAGAAAATGATCGTACTTTGATGGAATCCAAAGTATACATGAATTCCTTTTTTCAATTTTTATCTTTTTTTGTTGATCATGACACGAATTATATAATTACATATAATATAAGAATATTGACATGTATTTTTAAATTTTTTACAATTTTCAATGTGAATGAGGGAAATGAATTTAACTTTTTTTTTGTTGACAGATTGACGTAATAGCGTCTAATTCGTATTAAGAATAGAACGATCGTGAGCAATGCCCATGATGTCGTGTAACAACCATCACCCAAGACCAGGATCACACACATATGAAACGATGTGTGCCAAAATTAACAAAGTGACCCCTGTTAGCTAAGATATCAACTGCAAATTAGCTTCTCTATACACATTATCTATTCATACCTCCCACTCCAGATTATGTAGGATACTAGGATGTAGAACTGTCTTGCAATGATCCTGTGACGATGGTCATCATCAAAATAGGTTTTGGCAATATTAATTGCAGCAGTCGAGTCCTATTTGAGCTAGTCTTTCCTGTACCCTCTCTCCCAAGCAATCCGCAGTCCCTCAATAGCACCTTTAAGTTCAACACTCGTGATAGAGGATGTGAATTGAACTCTTTATTTGAGAAAAAGTTTACAAATCATTGTCATATACTTAGTTCTTTAAAGTTTGCATTCATTAGTATATTTAAGTTTAGCATGGATATTTGAAATAGTAGTGGACAAAAAACTAATTTTATTAAGTTTAAGGCAAAATACACTTGTATAGCCATAACTTTCACGTTTTCGACAAATATAGCCATAACTATTCGAAAACACAAAATAGCCAAGAAATTAGATGGTCATGTGACAAATCTAGCCATTTTCGTTAGAAACTTTAACGGTGTTAGAAACTCCGTCAGTTAGGTTAACATTAGGCTGACTAGGATGCCAAATCATCACACACGTCAGCGACAACTCAATCACACTTGCCACATAAGTGCCATGTCATATTTTATTTTAAAAATAAATTAGTTAATAAATTAATAAATAATTTTTAAAAAATTCCCTTTTCAATATCCAGTCTCCTCTCCCTCTCTCCTCTCCTTCGTCTTCCCCATCTGTTCTCCGATGAACTCCCCTTCTACCTCCGTTGGACTCCCCTTTATTGAAACCCCTTCTACCTCCTTCGTTTTCCTTTTCTTCACTTCTTCTCTATCAAAATTCAAAACCCCTTTCTACCTCCGTTTTTCTTGTTGCAACCCTTCCATCAAATTGTCACTCGATAATCAGCCAAATCCAAAACCCTCCCAGTCCAAATGAAATAATTGATGGACTTGCTCCCATCTCTCAATCTGCCTTCATTCACCTTTTCCTTTTTACATATTTAATCCCACCCAATTCGACTCTGTTTCCTGGGCTTGCTCCAATTCCTCTGTTTTTCACCCTGGTACTGGCATAAGTAGCTGCTGGCGGCTTTGAAGCTTGTTGCTGCTGAATTGGAGCTTGTTTGGTCATTTGGAGCGAGACCAGGTAGCACCTGTGCAGCTTGGCGGTGAGTCCTCTTCTTCCTCCAGCGGCGTCGATGCAGGTTGGGAGACGGCTGGAGAAAGAAGGGAGTGGAGATCCCTCGTCAATCGGGACTCCATCGCAGCTGTTGCGATCCTCTCCAAGCTCTCTCCTTTTCGTTTGCCGACCTTCTACCAACTCACCTTCACCGCTTATCTCTCCGCTCGCTCCCTACAGCCACATATCTCTCGGCCTCGTGTCCCTCACTCTCGTCGACCTCGAAATCCTCCAGCGTAGCGGTATCTCCGCCGAGAAGAAACAAGCAGGTTGCTCGACCTTCTCCCTCATCTCGCCGTGCTTTTGACTGGATTCTGATTCGTTTATTCTTCTTCGTGCTTACCGCTGGCTTCCGATTTGCTTCCAATTTCGGCGGCGGCTGGTGAGGAGATGAAGAGTTGGCCCCCGAATTTGGGGTCTCTAAGAACCCTAAATGAGCATTTTTTATTTTTTGATTTTTTTAAATTTTTTTGGCTTTTTTTTCCTTTAATCCACGTGGACTTTAACTGACGAAATGTCGCCAAGTCAGCATTTCCATCCGTCTAGTCAGATTGTTAAGTAACATCGTTAAAATGATGGAGAGAATTGGCTATTTTGTGTTTTTAATAGTTATGGCTATATTTGTCATAAACGTGAAATTTATGGCTATACAAGTGTATTTTGCCTAAGTTTAATTATATAGATTTAACAACATAAGCTTAAGGGTTCATTACAGAAAGAAATTATGGCCAAATTTGTTTTCTAAAACTATTCCGCTATGACAAAACTATAAGCACATGAACCAATAGAGCTACTGAAGTTGGCATGGACGAATTCAGGGTTTGAGTAGTGTCGTCAGCACTTGAGGATGACAACGACACAAATCTCAAAAGCAAAGAGAGTTGTCTGACGATGAATTCGAGATAGGACGAAGATGCAAATATTGCAAGCAAAATTGGAGAATCGCTCCAAAGGTGAATCGGGTTGCATTTGCATGCAGGTTGTCGAAAAATCTGATTGTTGACGCTTTCAATAAATGACTATATAAAACATTGGTACAAAAAAGAATTTGACAATTCTAACTCTCGCCACAACATTAAAGGAACTCAAATTTCACCTAGTATGACTATTAAATTCATTCATAGCTCTCTCACTTATATTTATATTTAGAACTCTATCACATTTAACTATTTAGTTGTCGCATATACTATAGTTATCCTTTACGTTTATTTGTTTGAACTCATATATTTATATTTAGAACTCTATCACATTTAACTATTTAGTTGTCGCATATACTATAGTTATCCTTTACGTTTATTTGTTTGAACTCATATCACAACTAAGAACAATATAGTCACCTATATGTTTATATGGTGTCATAACTAACTAAATATGTCCAGTCAATTACATGTCCCAAATTAGTAAGCACCGTAAACAACCTAGTTATACCCAAATTTTGATGGAAAGTTCATTAACAATCATTCACAAATCACAATCAACAAAAATGTAAATTTCAAAGATATATAAGTTAAAAAATTTCACATATTTATTATTGTTGGCAAATAAAAAATTATCACATGCCTATATCATATGTGTTGTGCATGGTTATCATGAAATATGCAAATTAGTCCTTGTCATTATGTGAGGTTTCACATAAAAAGAATTCATTGAATTATATTATTCATCTAAAGTGAAGCGCTATGTCAGTGTGATTTATGTCAGTGTGATTCATATTGTGTAACTGTTCTCAGACTCAATAGGGTCCGCATTAATTATAAGCATGATAAAAGGTAATCGATTGGAAACATGTATGGTATCTACATCTACACACTAATCCTATCCTACCTCCTATCCTACCATTATTATATGGAGATTCTCCATCAAAACATACTCTATTCAAAATTTCTAGCCTTATGAGAGTTTGTAAGAAGGATATTTTTGTCATTTAAATTATTAAAATAAAATACTTTTAGTCTCCTAAATCAATAATATTTCATACAAGAACAACACTAAAAAAACGAAGCTATTAAAGCATAAATAATAACATCACATGAGATATTATTGACTATCAACATTAAAAATATAATAGATTCCTATTTCCGTCAATATGTAAAAAAGAAGTTTGAATGGTGTTAGTTTATATATTAAGTCTGTTGTGGAGCTTTTTTATGATGAATCCTATAAAAAAATTCAAGTTTTCCTAAATTTTCTACCCATTATATTTTCATAAATTCACCGATGTTCGGTCATGCTTATCTATAAATATTTTTACTCATTGATAGTAAATATGTCCAAATAAAATATTTTAACCTTTAGTTTGAAAACAAATGTGTGGGATTTTAAACTCTTGGGTTAGTAGCTACCCCAATTAAGAATCTTTAATTAAAATTTGATGAAATGAAGGTGAGGAAGAAAGTCTATTGATGGTGGCGTAATGAATTCGAAAACAGTGATAGTAAGTAGTGACATTGTTGAGCAGAAGGGATAGACTATTGATGCTGGACAGAGAGGCTTCAATGATGAATTTGAAACTACAATTGTTGTCAGAGATGATGATACATGTGGTGAAGCAATAGCAAAGAAGTCTTAAAGAACAATAACAACAATTTCTTACAACACGAAGTAGATCGAAGTGTAGTTTGATAAAAAAAATTAATAGTTAGTTCATTTTTATGTGTTCTATGTTATATTTTCAGTAAGAACTTCAGTTGATAAACCGGTTAGCATATTAGAAAACTCTATCATGTAAGTCCTTTTTTATTTTTTCATTAATTGAATAGTTCAAATCTTTTGACTTTTTATATCAATAAAATATATCTTGCTTCGTACAATTACAATTGTGGCTTAAGTGTTTGAAATAATGAGATTAGTTAATATTGAACATTTAACTACTATTATTTGTTTCATTATACGAAATGAATATATCAAATACGAGTCAGTCAAGAATTTAGTAAACAAAACTAGCTCTAGCTCGACTAGATTCAGCTCGTTTATTAACGAGCCAAGCTCAATCTAAAATAAAGTCCGGCTCAACTCGACTCATTTAGAGCCCTAAACCCTAATCTAATTCCTAAAAGAGTTGGTTCCAATTGTCATGTGTCAAAGGCTGAAACAACTAATTAACTAGTCTCAGGAAACAAACCAGTCAACGAAATACCCTGTCGAACCAAAGGAAGGACACCAAACCATAAATTTTTTTCCTCAACAAGACTGTTTACAATCAAAGCGCAGGGGAACAACCAACCAACGAAAATTCACTCCAAAAAGGAAAAAAGAAAAAAATAACAATAATCTCCAAACCCTCAGTAAAAAAGCAAACTTCAAGCTAATAATTTCCGCTAAGGAATCAAATTCAAACCCACAAGAAAAACATCACCATTGTGATGTTTTTTTCACCCGTTCTACATGGATTCTCTCAAGAGAAGCAAATCTTGCTTCTCACACTTCCAAAACCCCACATTGGGTACACCTTTTTACTACTACACAAACCATATACAAATTTGTTTTGTAGGACACAGAGATGAGAACTTGTGACCTTATCCTTTTGTTTTCCCTGCCTCTTTTAAGGCACAAAACCGATGTCCTTGAAGTACTCATGTTCTATGGCAGTCCTGGCTGTAATTCTCTTGACAGGATCCAAGCACAGCATTTTCTGTATGCACAGCAACCCAACAAGCAATATGATGATCATCACCAACGCAAATCACAGACATCCCTGCTAATCCCCTGGTGGAGAGAGAGAGAGAGAGGGGACATGGAACTTCAACTTACACGTAGAAGGTCAAGACCAGCTGAATCGAGAGTTGGAACCACAGTAGCCAAGTCCTAGCAAAAGAAAAACACTCGATCGTGAAATTCAGAGGACAAGTTGGAGTATGCTTCGGCTAGACATCAATAAGGAGGAAGCATGGAAACCTTTGAAGGCCACTTAGGGAATGTAGACTTGAAGTCGGGCAAAGATGTTACTCCAGGCCAGGTTTCTTCATTTGGCGTACCCGTGATTCTGCAGATCAGGAAAAATCTGAATGTAAGCTTGCACAGTGTTTCGGCACGTAAACTAGGATCATGCATACAGAGTGCATCATTGCTATCAATGAAAAAAAATCAGTTGACATTACTGATGGCTGCAACTAAATTAGGCAGCGAAGACAAATTAGCACAACCTATTAATGCAATGTATTGATGATTCTTAAAACAAACAGAAGTAAAAGAAATGCAGAAGATGGATGCCAAGAGAACAAAATGGGAATTGGGAAGGTGCTTCACCTGAAAATCTTAAATAGCTCGTCAATCTCAGAGTCCCCAGGGAACAACGGGCGCTGGTTCACCATTTCAGCAAATATACATCCAATAGACCACACATCGACAGGTGTAGAGTAGTGTCGAGATCCAAGAAGGATCTCTGGGGCTCTATACCACAGAGTCACCACCTATGTGCAGTAAGGTAGAATCAATCAGAAAACAATAAGGTAGCCTGCCAACCAAAGCAGTCATAAAAACTTTTAGCTAAACACCACTGCTAGCAATAGAGCACTCCTATTTCATATTCATGGTCTCAGGTATGGTTTCTTCCATGACAGGAGCTTTGTTATTAAACTAGGCACACTAGGAAATCTAATACACGCTAACCAACATTCATAATAACCAGACATTGCTTTACACCTACCCAAGATACCAGCACCCAACCATTAAGTGAAGCTTAATACCTTACATAACCAGGAAAGGAAAAAGTGGAAATCATACCACAAGTTACAGGAGAAACTATAATGAATGATTGCAACTGCTCAGGGATCCAGACATGAATACTGGATAAGCAAACCTAGTTCGTCTGTACCTCATGAGTAAATGTCCTGACAGGTATTCCAAAAGCTCTAGCCAAGCCAAAATCTGCAAGTTTCAGTGCATTGGTACGACGATCAATAAGCAAATTCTGTGGCTTCAAATCTCGATGAAGAACCCTGTGAGAATGGCAATAAGCAATGCCACGGAGGATTTGATACAGGAATGTCTGCACATAGAAGATAATTATAGATGTTCAACAAAAGGTAGCAAGATGGGATGACATCCACAATCTATTCCGGTATTCTTAGGTAGCAAAAGATTAGAACAGGAATATATCTTCGTGGAAAAGAGGAGAGAAAGGCTACAGGCAATAGTTGCCATAAGAAATGTCAATTGTTGGGGAGTAGAAGGAAGACAGAGTTCCAAGCAGTTACATGCTAAAACATTTGCAAGATCATAGTTGGAAAATAGAGGATAAACAGTAGCAACCCTATCTTCTTTTAAAATTGCTCACTAACTTTGACTATGCTCGGGTCCTTAGCGAAT